ATATAAAAAATGGTGTAAAAATAATTTTTCCTGTTTTTAATATTATTAGCAAAAATAAATAAATCAAAATAAAAAAAGAAAAGTCAAAAAATCAAGCAAATAAATAAAATGGGCTAAGGGGGTGCAAAACCAAAAATATGGTGTGAAGAGAAATAACACAAAAGCCCAGCCCATGAAGCTTCTTCTTCAACCTTCAGACAAAAAGATGTCAAAAACGCGCGCCTGTTTTCCAAGTTCAAACATCTGGATTCTTTGATCTTTTGCACAAACTCACAACATAAGAAATGTTAAGCATTGAATCACGATTCTAAATATATAAAGAACTCATCCTAACTCTCAGAAATGAGAGAGAATTTTGACATTCCCAAATCCTGACCTAACTTTTCTTCCATATTCAAACCTTAAATTCTCACAGCTCAAGCAAAATAAATGAAAAGTAAAAGCATGTACAGATTCAGGGGCATGAGTAGAACACTTCTTATTCACAAACTTAGAGCTAATGATGCCTAGACTAAGAGTTAGGAGTTCAAGAAGATACCTGTTCAGTTGAAGTTCTATCTGGCAATGGGGGAGCTTTCAGAGCAAGATGATGATCTGTATAGCTTGCCTGGAGTGTGGTGATGCTATTCCAATGCTTACTTTGCTTTGAAACACCTTGAATCGAACTATGGACCTCCCACTGCAAAACAAGAAAGTGAAAATGGTGGAACTGGTTAGAGGAGTTACAGGTCGTGTTTTGTGTTTTGGTTAGCTTCAAATGATGTTAGGGAATGTGTTTAATGAGCTTTGAGCAAGAAAGCATGAAAGGGATGAGTTGTGGGATTCAATCTGCAGACCCTGCCCTGTTTTTTGCAGTTTGAGAGTGATTCTGGGAATGGGAGTTTTGGGACCTTGTTTGCTCGTGTTCTAGCTTGTACTTGATGATTAGAAAGTGTATACAATATTTGCTTAGGCTTGCTTATGCTCAGATCAAAGTTGTGTGTTGTTATGATGTGTTTCTTCACACTTAAGCAAACAAAGGCCACTTGAGTTTCTAGGCAGGTAGAGGCCCCCTAAACATGCTGCTAACCTTGTCTTGATCAGTGTGTTTTGCTCATAATCTTGTGCCAAAGTGATTTGATCTGTACTTGTGGATTTGCAACTTTGACATAAAGCTTGCTTTTTGCAAAAATGGCTATTTCACTTTTTCCATTTATGGCCTAATCCAACATGTAATGCTTAAACTCAAGAAACAAGGCCTTAGCACAATGAACATGCATTAAATTATTGAGTGTTGGATGGTTTAAGGGCCTGTAATCAAGTGGCATGCTGGTTTGAGAAATTTGCACAAGTTATGAACATGTACATGGCCATGAATCAAAGTGACTTTTTGCCATATTGCAAAATTCGAATCTCTCAAGTTATGAGGTTGTTTGATGAGTTCTTGGACATTTTGGAAAGCTTGGAATTTGTACTACAATCCATCTTTGAAGTGAAAATTGAAATTCCAAGTGGAAGTGTATGGAAAATGGCCTTGAAGTCAGGTAGAAAACCTTGCCAAAATAGGTTAAAATTTCACTAAGTTAAGAATGGTTTAGTACCCTTATTCCAAAAATTGTAACTTGAGATACAAGCCTCTTTTTGGAAAACTTTGTGAATCAAAGTTGTAGATTATGCAACAAGCTACAACTTTCATGTTTTGACTTTTGCTTGAATCCAAATTAATCTTGGTGAGAAAGTGGGGCAAAGTTGGGAAAAAATTAGGGTTTTTCATAACTTAGAAAAATTCTAAGTTATGAAAAATTCTCATTTCAAACCCTAATTTGCAATTTTTGATTTCTTGGTGAACAAGTTTCATGATTTGGCATGTTTTGATGAAAAATGAATCTTGACTCTTGATTTTGACCAAAAAGTCAAAGTTTGACTTTTCAGTATACAGTCAAAATTGATCAATTGACTGGGAAATTCAACTGTCAATCTTGTGTACTTGGGATCTTTTGAACTTGTTGAGCATGTCAAGATAATTCCATGGGGTCCTTGAGTCCATATGTGAGCTTGGTTTGCCATTGACTAGGTCAAACAGTCAAAAATTGCCTTTGTGCAGTCAAAACCCTAAAAATGACCATTTTGCCCTTTTGGTGATCTGATCAAATTTCTTGTGGAATTGTGATCCAAACTTGACCAAATGGTTCATATGAGTTCATAATGTTGATGTGGGTCAATTTTCATGAGATTTGACTGTCAATTGGTCACAGTAGACTTTTTCCCCAATACAGCTGATTTCTAGGTCAATTGTCCAATTGACTGGGCAAGACTTGGAATCAAGACTTGAAACTTGATATGGATAAACTTGGGAGTCCAATATGAAGCAAGAAAGTCATCTTAGGCATTTTAGGTCAAAACATCTTTGTGAAAACACAAACCCTAATTTGGGTCAACAGTGCAAGGAGAAGTCTTGAGCAGATGAAACCCTAACTGGATCTTGATCTTCAAGGGCTTTGTGGTGAGAAATCAATGAGAAATGGGAGGGCAAATTTTGGGGTACAACAGCCGTATACCAGAGAGAAAGGAGTTCCCCCTGTTGATGTGCGCACTATGGTACGATAACCATGGAGAGCAAATGGTAACATCTCACGCCAGTCTTTATATGTCACTGTCATCTTTTGTATGATCTTTTTGATATTTTTATTAGCAGCTTCTACAACGCCATTCATCTTCGTCCGGTAAGGAGAAGAGTTATGATGCTAGATCTTGAATTGCATGCAGAGCTCGATGATCATAGTATTATTGAGATTGGTACCACTATCAGTGATGATTCTTTCTAGAATACCATACCGACAGATAAGGATATGTCTGATGAATCGGGACACAATGTTCTTGGTAACAGAAGCAAATGAAGCTTCCTCTACCCACTTTGTGAAGTAATTAATGGCAACCAGGATGAAGCGGTGCCCATTAGAAGTTGTAGGTCTAATCTCCCCAATCATATTGATGCCCCACATTACGAATGGACGGGGAACAGTCAAAACGTTCAAGGGAACCAGAGGCACATGTACTTTATCAGCATAGATCTGGCACTTGTGACAAGTTCTTGAATACTGATAACAGTCTGCTTCCATAGTGGACCAGTAGTATCCTGCCCGTATGATCTTTTTATCCATTGTGTGTCCACTAGAATGGGTGCTGAAAATGCCATCGTGTGAATATGCCATAATCTTTTCTGCTTCACTTTTATCCATACACCGGAGCATAGTAGAATCGTGATTGTGCTTGTAGAGGATCCTGTTACTGGGGAAGAACATGGCATAGAACCTTCTTAGGAACTTCTTATCATTGACTGAAGCTCCTTCAGGATACTCTTGGGCTTCGAGATATCTTTTGACTTCATGGAACCAAGGTTTGTCCATTATTTCTTCAGTACCAATCTCATGACAATATGTTGGTTCATCCATTCTCTCAATAGTGATCTGAGGAGCTTCATTATCCCACCTGACCTTGAACATGGATGACATCGTGGCTAGCGCGTCCGCTAGTTGATTTTCCCCTCGTAGAAAATTCTCAAAGGTAACTTCTTCAAAATGTGGAATTAGTGTCAACACATGCTCTTTGTAAGGGATGAGATTAGGATGCTTCATGTCCCGTTCTCCTTTGATTTGACTGATTACAAGGGCCGAGTCTCCAAATACACTTAAGAATTTGATCCTCAAGTCGATAGCAGCTTTGAGACCTATGATGCATGCTTCATATTCATCCATATTGTTGGTACAATTGAAACATAGCCTGGTGGTGAAAGGAGTATGACAACCTTTGGGAGATATGATCACAACACCGATGCCATTGCCAATTGTGTTGGAAGCTCCATCAAAAACTATAGTCCATCAGGATCCTTTTTCAGGTCCTTCATCCGGTCCAGGTTCTTCATAATCAATTATTAACATGTTTTCATCGGAGAACTCAAAATTCATGGATTGGTAGTCGTCCACAGCCTGTTGAGCCAAATGATTAGCTAGTACACTTCCCTTGATTGTTTCTGGGTTGTGTACTGATTGTCGTATTCGGTCAGGATCGTTTGCCATCTTGCTATTCTTCCAGAGAGAGTGGGCTTCTCAAAGATGTATTTGATAGGATCCATTTTAGAAACCAACTAGGTAGCATGAGTCAACATATACTGTCTTAGTCGGCAAGCAACCCATGCCAAAACACATCAAGTTTTCTCGAGTAGTGAGTATCTTGTTTCACATTCAGTAAACTTTTTGCTAAGGTAGTATATTGCATGCTCTTTTCGACCACACTCGTCATGCTGCCCTAGCACACACCCCATTGAATTCTCTAATACTGTCAAGTACATGATCATAGGTCTTCCTCCAACCGGCGACATCATGATTGGAGGCTCTTGAAGGTATTATTTAATTTTGTCAAAGGTAATCTGGAAATCGTCATTCCACTTCACTACTTGATATTTCTTCAGTAATTTGAAGATTGGCTCACAAGTAGCGGTTAGATGAGAAATGAATCTGGAAATGTAGTTTAGACATCCCAAGAATCCCCTAACCTCCTTCTCAGTTCGAGGAGTTGGAATTTATTGTATGGCTTTAACCTTTGCAGGGTTTACTTCAATACCTTTTCTGCTGACCACAAAGCCTAAGAGCTTACCGGATCTTACTCCAAAGGTGCACTTATTCGGGTTCAGTCTCAGTTTGTATTTCTTCAGCCTTTCAAACAGCTTCTGCAGGTGCAATGTGCTTCTCTTCAGTCTGAGACCTGACTATCATATCGTCGACATAGACCTCTATCTCGTGATGGATCATATCATGAAAGAAAGCTACCATGGCACGCTGATAGGTTGCCTCGGCGTTCTTTAACCCAAATGGCATAACATTTTAGCAGAAAGTGCCCCACTGCGTCACGAAGGTTGTTTTCTCCATGTCCTCAGGTTCCATTTTGATCTGATTGTACCAGGAGAAACCATCCATGAAAGAGAATTTCTTATGTTGTACGGTGTTTTCAACAAGAACATCAATATGAAATGGGATGAATATGGGAAGACATGTGATGAAGTAGATGAGAAATTAAGCGAATGTAGTGTTGATTCTAGTGATGAATATGTAAGGGGTGTACAATTTGATGATAGTGAGGAGGAGAAGATGAAAGGGTTTGATGAATCTGTGAGGGGTGTACACTTTGATTCTAGTGATGAATCTGTGAGGGGTGTACACTTTGATTCTGGTGATGAATCTGTGAGGGATGTACACTTGGACAACAACTTATGCTTGTAGGCTAAATATTCAAGTTACACATGTCATGTTTACTGATAGCTTTGTAGCGGATTTGGAAAAAAAAACATGCTCATGCAATTATTGGGAACTATTGGGGATACCATGTAGACATGGTGTGGTTGCAATACATAAGAAAGTAGACAAACCATCAAGTATGTGCATAAATGCTATCACAAGAGCACATATGAAAATGTTATAATGAAGTGATCACCCCATTAAATCGCCATAACAAATGGCCTAACATATAATCCTATTATGTTACCCCAATTGTTCAAATGTGTCCTAGGCATGCCCAAGAAACTACGCAAGAGAGAACTTGATGAGGTAAACCAAACAAAATGGAAAAGAACAAATACCAGTCATAGGTGCAAAACATGTTATGAACTAGGCCATAACAATAGAACTTGCAAGAAAAATAAGCAGATTGTGCTTGTTCCATCTGGAAATACAATAGAGGATCTGCCTAGATATGAGCTGCCTACACAGGCCAGTCAGACTAGCCAAGTCCATTTGGCACCCCAAAAAGGGTAATGTACTAACTTAATCTTGTACATGTGTGTAGTTAATATTAAGATTATGTATAACAATGAATTTGTTTCTACTAGGAGAGGCCTGAGGGTCTGTCAATAATGGCCCAATTCAGACTGGAACAAAGTAAAACTTGGCCCAATCAAAGAAGAAAAAAGTGGAAACTATCAATGATGAAGGAACTGTCAATAAGGAAGAAACTATCAATGATGAAGCAATTGTCAACAATGAGGCTACTGTCAAGGAGGTACCAACAGTCAATGAGGAAATTGTCAAGGAGATACCAACAGTCAATGAGGAAACTTCCAATGAGGGACCTAGTGTCAATGAGTCAACTGTCAATAAGGAACAACCTATATGATTTTCATGTTTGGATAAGTTCTGTGGTTGGGATGCTGAGGCTTTGGCTGCATTTCTTAGGGATGATGATGTTTTGGACATTCAGCCTTTGAGTGTTGACACATCACCTATAAATCCAAGTGAATCAAAGTCAAGTGGTGTCAGAGTTTTCTTTGGTAAAAAACCAAAAGTTTGCAAAAATAAACCTTTCAAACCCCGAGGATTATATTCGCCAAAGCCAAGTTGCAGTGAACCAGAGAGTATTAAAACATGTTCTGTATCAAAAAGTTGGGCAGACATTTGCAAGAGGCTAACTCAGTGAAGACTCTTTAAAGATGCAGTTGAAGATAAATATTTATGTTTTCTTTAAGCTATTTTGAATGTACTGTCAAGAAGATATTTATGTAATGTTTATGTTTATATTTTGAAGAAGATATTTGTATGGTGTTGTATAACCATCATGTCATATGTACAATAATGTAATGAATGGATCAATTACTATTTTGATATATAATGAATGTAATGCACTGCATATATAATGAGATGTTTGCAATTACTCTTTGGTGAAATCTGTTTGCATTTCTATGTACATATATGTCACAATTATGCAGAAGTATAGGTTATAATTTTTCAAATTAATTGGACACCTTATGTCAAAGTTATAGGTCATATTCTATCCAAATTATAGGCCATATAAAATTATAGTACATTACATAATTGAACCAAATTATACACCAAACTACAGTACATTACATAATCGAACCAAATTATAAGTATACCAAATTATACTACTTAACATAACTGAACCGAATTATAGGTCATGCCAAGTGAAACTTACAAAATCAATTAAACCAAATTATAGGTCATACCAAAATACAATACATTGCATAATTGAATTGCATTACATAAGTGATGGTTACATAACTGAATAAGAAATGAATAACATTTCAGCATCAACTAAACAACATTACAAACTTAAAAGAACAACAATAGAGTACTTCAACATTTACACTTCAATAACAAGTACAAGTTGACCATAAACAAAAATACAAGACAAATTGACTTCAACTTTCCAGAAAATGCCTATCAATTCATCTTGATATACAATCTCTTGTTCTTCTTCATTGAAGTTACATATAACTCCTTCAAAGTTTCAACAGTTTGCTTCTCCCTCACCTTGCTATCATCTTTACTTTATTTTTCATCTTCACTTTCATAAACATCATTTCCTTGTGCGATATCATCATCCCATATGAATAAATTGCAAGTTTCCTCATTTTGCAAAAATGGATACCTCCATAATAATCTCCTTTTATTATGTTTGTTCTTACAATAGTATGATATCATACGCGAATTACACCTACACCTTCTCCCTGAAAGGTTGCTTACACTTGTGGAATGATATGAAACTGATTCGCTACGTCTTGATGAAGATGATATATTGATTTTGCAGTGAACGAAGTGCAATTGAAGAAGACAAAGAAGAATTAAAAAAATTAGGGTTAAATGAAGAAGAAGATAGAGTGGAGTTAAAGAAGGCAAAGTGGAGTTGAAGAAGATGAAGACAAATGAAAGGGATTAGGGTTTCAGTGTTTGAATTTAGTATAAAAAATTTAATTTAATAAAAAATATATGTGTCAAAGAAAAAAACACATTTGGTAGTGGAAAATAACGGGAGGAACCAATTTCAGGAATAGAAAAGTTTGTGAGGACCATTGTTTGAAGAAAAATTTTAGAGGGACTAAAATTAAATGTTGACATATTTATGAGGACCCCTAGCATTTTAACCCTTTATTATATAATAATTATTATATTATAATAACTGTAATATTTTAGAGTTGAGTTGGATGTATTTATCATTTAGAGTTATTTTAGAGTTGTACAAATTGTTATAGAGTGGTTTAGAGTTTGCTTTGAGAACATTGTTGAGTAAAAGACGAGAACTGTTATCCTTTTGATGAGTTACGAGTATAAAATAATTAATTATTACTCTGTTGATATGTTTTGAATATTTTTATTAGTTAATGAGTAATTTGAGTGTTGTGTATATTGAGTTGTTGAGTAATAATATAATTTTACTCTGTTATTGATAATATAATTATTGAGTCGTAATTATATTGCTGAGTTATGGTTTCAGAGAGAAACCTTTTTGAATACGAGTTGAATTGTTCAGAGAGAACTACCGTGTTGACCTTGCGTTAGAAATCTTATGGTTTAGAGAAGACCTTTTTTTGAGTTAGTTTAGAGAGAACCTTGTTTTAAGGTGGTTCATAGAGAATCTCGTTTGAGTATTCTTGTTGCTGATTATGAGACTGAATAGTAATTTTTGTTGATTTTTTGGTGTGAATGTTATTGCCATATTCATGCATTCATGTATATCGGAGATAGGTAAGACTTAGGTCCAGTAAGCTCTAGTGTTCAGAGAGAACTAGTGACACTCTCATTGTTCAGAGAGAGCACAGTTTTAGAGAGAAATCATATATATGGATAATTCTGTAACACAACTCGGACATCCAAACTTTTGGTACCACATGACTTTTGGAGGAGAATTGCATAGCATCTTGCAATTGTATTTTAATTATTTGTGAATGAGAATTAATGTGTGTGATCTGAGTTATGTTCATATATGATATCCTTTCTCTTTAATACACAAAAACTTCTATAAAGTTATTCTCACCCCCCCCCCCTTTTGTTTGTTTGTGTGACTGTTGTACTGATGGTACAAATACTCAGGTTGAGGAGCAGTAGTTGCTGCCGTGTGGAAGGATTTGCGTAGATGTCTACTTTATATTATTTTTGTTTTCTTAGTAGTTCGTTCTCCGCTCTGGTAGTGCAACATCGAGGAAAATTTCAGTTATTTGATGTTTTTTAAGAATTGTTGACTTATTTGCTTATGTTAGATTAAGTAATTTGTTTTAATGAAGTATGATATGTTTCAGTTGAGATAATATGATTTTTAATTCAAGCTGATTTATTATATTTTTGTTTTTGAAACATGTTTTATTATATAGACGTAACACTTTAATGTTGAAATTATTTGTTATTGCATGCTTTTATTTTAAAAATGTGCACTGCGATTTTAGGGTGTTACAATTACATGAACGATGGACTTCTACAGGAAGATCCTTGCCGCCTATTAAGAAAATACATGAATGTTGGACTTCTACAAGAAGATATTTGCCGCCTCTTAAGGTAATACATGAACATTGGACTTTCGCAGGAAGATCTTTGTCGCCTCTTAAGGATACACATGAATGTTGGACTTCGATGTGAGGATCCTTACCGCCTCTTAAGGTAATACATGAACGATGAACTTACACAATAAGATCTTTGTCGCCTCTTAAGACAATACATGAACGTTAGACTTCCACAGAAAGATCCTTACCACCTCTTAAGGAAACACATAAATGATGGACTTCCACATGAATATTCTTGTCACCTCTTAAGGAAATATATGAATGTTGAACCTCAACAAGGGAATCTTTGCAACTCTCAAGTGAAATACCATGAAGCTAAATGTGGAGAAATCGTTTTATCTAAACGCCTCACATGAGAGACTTAAAGTCTCATTAGATTGGCTCATCTTAATACCTCATCTGTGAGACTTAGAGTGTCGTCAAATATGCTCATTTAAATGCATCACCTAAGGGATTTAGAGTCTCATTAGACAAACTCATCTAAACACCTCATATGAGAGACTTAAAATCTTGTTAGACATGCTCATCTAAACGCCTCGTCCGAAAGACTTAGAGTCTCATCAGACAGACTCATCCATATGCCTCGTCTAAGGGACTTAGAGTCTCGTTAAATATGCTCTTCTAAACATCTCGCTTGAGGGACTTAGAGTCTCATCAGAGAAGCTCATCTAACTGTCTATCCTAAAGAACTTGTCAGACAGACTCATCTAAACGTCTCACTTAAGAGACTTAGAATTTCATTGCCCATAGGTCTAGACTCCACTACGCAAAATCAATTAAGTACTTCGGTCTTTACTTACTCTTGTACATGAGTTTCTAACAACTATTTTTAAATTTTACGGCACAATGATAATCCTATTTAAACAAAATAATTATGGTTACACGTCATTATCTTATACAAGACTAATCGATAATACAATGCGTGAAGGTATTTGTTTATATCTAAAAGTAAATTAGATATCACCCAAAATCAACGAAATAAACATAGATTAGATAGAAAACTCTATTCATCCAATATCATGACAAACGAGTGTAAACATAGTTGTAAATGAGTGCAACAAATTATTATTCAAAATATAAAAACCTAGATGCAATTTTTTAATGAGAACCGGTGGAGTGAGATATGTCACTATATTATTTGTCCCCACAATCACATTTCCAAAGAATATCTATTTGTTGTCATACCATGCATAGCAAGATTACATCAACGTGTTTGTCTTGTTATTTATTCTTCATCTTGATTTGTCATTTTAATTTGCATGTGCCTAATTATTTTATGAATATTTCTCTATGATCTTAAACTTTCTAAACTACCCATGTGAAAACTTGGTTACCTTATATTATTATCATGTTCCTCACATCTACCTACCTAACCCTACCCTTTCTTAAAGAGCCTTGGACCAACCTATGCAGAGTCCAAAGGGGGGACCATTCCTTTTTTATTTGATTTTGTTATATATCAATATGGATTCAATAACGATGAGTTGCACTTCTTAGTACTCTATGTTTTCTTGCAAGTGTGTAATGAAATGACACAAAATACCTAAACGTTTCTTCATAAAAGAGTAGAAAATATCTTAAAGATGTATTTGAACGTACGAAGTATGGTTGATCTTTTAATAAGTTTATTAAATAACTTCATTGAAACGATACAAATATATGCAAAATGACTAATACATCATGTGGAGTATGCCTAAAAATAAATTAATTAAGAATTCAAAATTTTTCGTCCAATTTCATTCTACCTAAACCTTTAGGAGGAAACATGGGGAGTTTGAGGAAACCCCATTTCATGAGGATTTTCGTTTTGCCTCAAACACAACTTTTGAGGTGATGAAATATAGGGGGATTGGATTAGAGATGTTAAGGGAGAGCATAGAATGTCGGAGGATGGTTCTCCGCTCCCGTTCCGTCTTTAAATTTATTTTCTATCTTCATTTTTAATTTTTGTTATGGAAAAATATTTTCTCTCATCTCTATTTTCACAAATTCTTACAAAGATTTATAGAGATTGAATTTTAAATTTTTTTATATATTTTTCGATCAAAACTATAATATTAATATTTTATTATGTTTTAAAAAAAAAAACACATATATTTTTGTATCTTTCTTTTTTTAAATAAAA